TGTGTGTGTGTGTGTGTGTGTGTGCGTGCGTGTGCGTGTGCGTGCGTGTGCGTGTGTGTGTGGGTGGGTGGGTGGGTATGTGTATGTGTATGTGCATGTGTGTCTATATCCGTGTATGTATATGTGTGTGTGTGTTTGTGTTTCTGTGTCTATGTCTGTGTCTGTGTCTGTACGCTTTCAGATAAATATAGACTATACCAATAAATCATCACCTGTATGAGTGTGTATGCATAGACCAAATACACAAACTATGAGTATACGCTAGTACACACATATCAAACATATATTGTTATATGTACATACTTCACGCGTTGTATATGGCCAAGGTGGCATACCTTTTAATAGACTCAGCTTGAAGTTTTCCTCCTCGAAATCCTTGAAGATCCCTTTGAGGCTCGCGGCAATCTTACTCGTCACAAAATGCTCGAGTGGTTGAATAAACTGATCCAGCACCATCTTGTCGGTGATCGTACAGGCTATACACCACACCACTTCAATCTATGTGCTATACCACTTCAAACCATGTGCTACACCACTTCCATGCAGGATACTCAGTAGTATTTGGGGCAGCACTGCTTTCACACTACCCCCATTGGACGTATACTACACGTACACAGCTATCCAACCGCACATACATAAACCTTAAAAATATATTAAATATTGTATATATTCTAATATACATGAAGTATACTACACTCTCGCAGTAGTGCGACAGGTATGAAGTATCACGGCCAAACTAAAAAAGTCTTTTTTTTAACGGCGACTGATTGTACATATTGCCACAGAAATTTGTGGCGGTCTTGTATTGAAATTTCAAATTACCGCTTATGCCTAATATAGCCTATAGGGTAATCATATATTGATCGGGTTGTGATCAAACTGTTGATTTGTATAGAATACTGTGCATTATGTAATACATACATACCCACATACAACCCACGCAAACACAATGGGGTACATATCAGCAAAATCCCGCATATGATTTGTGACAATACAATAGCATTAATGTGGTGCTGACTACTGTATGTCGTTTAGTGCTAGTGCGTGCGATTGAGCAGTACATGCGTGAAGGCGTGTAAGCAGGTAGTATGCCTTTTGTTTCCGTCACTTTGAGTACACAAACCAAAACTGTCTACACAAAGTAAGGGTTCACTGCCATAGGCACATGTGATATTAACTACTGACACCTTCGAGCGTGCATTTGCCGAGCGTACATTTGACTTATGGTGGTATATGTTGTACAACACAAGTACAGATGCACCCTAGCACACGAAGCCCAGAGGCGTATGCCCTTAAATGTATGACTGTATGGTGGTGGACTCTGTGAGGAGCACTTCGGGTAGTATATATATATATGTGTGTGTGTGTGTGTGTGTGTGTGTTTGTGGGTGTGTCGTGTATGGTGTGTATGTATGAATATATATATATATATGTATATATTATAGTGTGTGTGTGTGTGTGTGTGTGCATTGGTGTAGAATTTACACATATATCTCTGCTAGTGTGTGTGCATAAGAATGTGCTATGTATACTATAACATTGAACTAATAGACAAAGTCTCGACAGTCTCTGTTATTAATATCAATTATATGTGAAGCAATGTGTGTAGGTTGTATTTTTGCCACGAATATCAATGCTCACTCTGTTAACCTCTATCAGGAACTTGCCCAGATGTGTTTGGTTGGGCATATCTCTGTACCCATTTCTGCGTATACATAAACGCTAGGACCTACACATGTGCAACCACCTCCATATCATGTTGAAAAATGAACGATGGATACGGTTCGTCATAACACACATATATTTGGTTATCAATACAACTGCTATGATATACTGTTGCGTGAACACCTCGTTTTGAACGCACATACGGAACATCTCGTTTTGAACGCATATACGGAACACCTTGTGTTGTTATCAACTTGCAAAAGCATGCCTGTTTACAGTGGTATTATTGCGCCAGTTGTTTATCGTACACCTACAGTCTACTTCTATCTGCGAATGTATACATCTACCTATACATGTCATGCATACGTATTTGCATCTTATCTATATTCAAACTTTTAAGAACACGCTCTGCTATTCGAATATACCTGTCACAATGTTTGACAATGTATCAATCACTGCCTACGTATTCATGCATCGTTTGTTTTAGAAAACCCAAGGTAGCATCTACCGGTTCATAAAAATGTGTTTGCAATCATATCCGCATGCGTAGCTACATATGAAAACAAGTGTCCTTTACGTCCTTGAGGTATTGGAGATATGAATGTGCATTGTGTGCGTGCATATAGATTAGTGAGCGGTATATATGACGAAGAACAACAAGCAATTTAAGAAAGCAAGGTGGACGGGCAATGAAGGTGAAATTGTGAACTCCGTGAAACTGGTTTCTGTGACACTGTACGAATTGCGGTGTATATATCTTAGAAAACATCATATATCAGAGAGGCGAACTCGAGTATTGTGAGGACAACTTGAATAGAGACTGGGAATCTTATGGATGTAATTGTTGTAAGTTTAGCAAATTTTGTTTTCATTAATTTCGTATGGTGACACTTTTAAAGTTGGGTAATGTTGGATGCATTTACATCTCGGTCGATGCGTCGATAGTGTAGCCATCACGTACATAACAGAGCTCACCATCGATGAATGTGGCCTGTACGGACAGTTTCTCTGACAATAGGACCAGGTCAGCATCCATTCCTGGCTCCAACCGACCCTTGCGATCTTGTACGTTAACACTCGCTGCTGGGTTCGAGGTTGCACATCGCAGCACCTCTGCAATGCTGCATCCAGTAAAGTCCTTGAAGTTTTTGATGCACGTGACGTGATCAACAGCAGAACCGGCGAGTGTGTTAGTGCCCGCTATTACAGCACGGATACCTTCTACATCGACGGGGAGATCGCCCAGCTGGTGTCTACCTTCTGGCAAGCCAGCAGCGGCCATTGCATCGGTGACTAGACATAGTCCCTCGGGGAAGGTCTGATATGCAATTCGGATGGAATTAGGGTGCGAATGGATACCATCGGCGATGATTCCATAGTATGGTCTGTATCCTTCCTTCCCTAGAACACCCACTAGTCCTGGATCTCTGTGGTGGAACGACGCCATAGCGTTGAACATGTGCGTAACTAGAGTACCTCCGGCCTCAAGACCAGCAATTGACTCTTCCATATTTGCACTTGAATGACCAAGTGAAACAAGCACACCGTGCTCCTTCAGACCCTTAATCGCGTCAATAGCTCCCTCACGCTCTGGGGCAATTGTCACGTACGATACATTCTCTGTGAGTGCCGGGCCATATCTTTCCAACAGTGAATCAAACCCATTGACTGGGGCCTCGATCTGCTTTGGGTCGTGAGCACCCTTCTTCTCCATGCTCATGAACGGCCCTTCTAAGTGAAGACCCAAGTTGGTGGCACCTTTCTCAGGTGAACCCGCGTATCTGACGAATTTTGGCAGAGTTTCATGATATTTCTTTTGGGGCGAAGTCACCAACGTAGGGCAAAAACTAGTCACGCCATACTGCATTAGATTGCGACCTACAGACTGGATATCTTCTAACTCGCAGTCGTAATTACTGAAATCAACGCCAAAGGCTCCGTTGATTTGGATTTCGATGAATCCAGGTGATAGGATAGCACCATGCCCATCGATCACAACGTCAGCATCGAAGTCAGCCGCACTTTTAGCATTGTAGAATCGGTAGAAGGGATCGATAATTTTACCGTTTTGTACCCATAGATCGGTTTCGACCAGTTTGTTGTCCTTAAAAACTTTACAGTTCACAAAGCGCAGTACTTGATGACGATCGTGAGGCTGGTCGGGTTTCTCGCCATTGATAACTCCCGACGTTGACCTTCTACGTGTGCGTGATGCAAGCTCGGCATCCGTAAGCTCGATGTGCTTGCAAGCGACCATTCTACTGTTATTTGACTGATTGGATTTAATCTGGTTTTTGATTCGCATCTACTGGCATGAGAATGGCAACGACAAATACATTTTATATATACTACTATCAGTCTATCAATAATATATAAATCCCACGGATTGGATTTCGTATAAAGTATTTTCAAAATATATAGAAGTCAGGGGCACACATCCATTCATCAATTTTCCCAATGGGAATCATGTGGGATGCATAGTTGCAACTTGCATTACATCCGGCTCATCGTGCAAATATTTATTACCCCCAGTTGCCACGAGGCAGAATTATGCAATTGATATTAGAGTTCCTCAAGGAGTTGTTTTTTGAAAAAACGAAAAATCCCATCGTATATATTGCGTCCTAAAATAGTAAAAATGTAGTGTCGTGGCTGTTGGTGAATTAGAATGATCGCATGTTCCCATTTATTTTTGGCGCTGCGCCGGAAAACTGGAAAAGCTACTCAGCGGAATTGCCGGAAATATCAAAAGTGAAAAGACTCAAAAGAGTATGTTCGAACTAAATTTGGAAACAAAAGCTGCCCCATTTGTACTCCTAACTTCAAATTCTACACACCGGCAATGAGTAATCAGTGTGCGATAAAATTAGTCTTCGTCGCAACACCAATCAACACTCAATCGTTAGAAAACATAATTGAAAAACCGCAGACGACCCATCGTCCATTGATGGTTTCGAATTTTGAGTGGCTTCGAGCCTTCGACCTTTGGTGATTGATGATTTTCTTTTTGTGATTGCTGATCTTCACTGATTTTGGCACAATACATAATTTTGATGGAGTGACTTCATAGTTCACTCAGTTGACAGTTCAGCTGTCAGCAGACTCCGCACTCATGATGTGAGTCATGACTCAGAGTCAGCAGTTCAGCCACTTCTGATTTCAGTCTTCAGTTCTTCACTCTCGCCGTCTCGCGTCTATTGAAAATTTTTAAAATGGCTTCAGACTGGAGTTCGTCAGACTTGCAGTCGCAAGCTGACACAGTCAATCACAGTCACAGACCACGAGACCAAGTGACCCTGACATGAAGTTGTCTGATCAGAAGGATTGTTAAGAGTATACCATTAGAAACCCCTATTATCCTGTAATCTTCAGTCTCTAAAGTTGATTTTGGAATTGTTGAAACCATCTGACGGTTTACCTTTTCTCACTCGTGGGCACACCGTGTCTAGGAGATGGTTGTGTACGCAGCATCTGTATGATTTCCGGACTCATGGCGTATCGGAGAGATACAAATATTTATGGTCTGGGTACATTCACTAGGCATTTTGTGGTATATGGTGGGTTGTATTGCTGGAATGTCTGCAAAGAAAAAAATATATTCGTGTGCAAAAGGTGGAATGGTCTGGTTGAAAGTGAAATTGTCTTAGATTGCAGCCAGTAATGTCCTGTGTATGCACGAGGTCTAGGATCAGGGGGGCCTACGTTCATGGTTGACGTCAACACTATATAAAAACACTGTGTGCGTAAAATCCTCGGAGTATAAAATAAATACTTGTTGATGCACACTTGTGTCCATAGCAGAATTATTAGCTGCACCATAATATTTGTCATCATGTGTGTCGTACCTTGTATATTCTGTCTACTCTAAATATTTTTTTCCGCACATGTACTTACAACTACGTCACCCAGTGCGGTACGTACATCTTGTCCTACTCACTTGTCTCCTGGTCGTAGTTTACCACAGATGATCGACAGTGACCTCTCTATCCAGACATGTACCAGTACTCACAAATCACCCCTCTGTGTAATGGCCGGGCCTCCACATTAAACTCTATGTTATAAACGTACTCTTGAGCAGTACGTAAACTGTAAACGTACTCTTAATAGTACAAGGAACTTAAGTTTCTTAAATGGTTTTTAACGGTTTTATTAATTAATACCTTTTCCATTTTACATATCAGATATTTGGACAAGGCCATTAAAAGGCCCCAGTAAAACACCAAACATAAGATTTGGTCTAGTTCTATTAATAGAACTATATGTACATTCCTAATCTATTTATATCTGAATACTTCGGTAGCCCAACCTTAGTAATATAGTCTCCTTGTAAATCTCTGTTGGTGCCCAAGCAATCATTTTCCCCTTCGACAGGTTGAATATGTGTCCAAGCAATCACTTCCACCTTCGAGAAGTTTTATACCCGTTTAAACTTGAATTTGTTTTATCCGATCGACATATGTCGTCCTAAAATTCCAAGTCAGCTCTGTATCAGTTCTACCCAATACTAACTTGTAGTTCTACCCAACACTAGCTTGTAGTGTTTTTCTTTAGCCACGAGCATATATTTTAACTGAACTAATCACCTCCACGAGCTCCTGTACAGTGGTGACTAGCTTAGCCCTAGATGGACAATGATATAAAGTTGTCCCATGCGTATAGCTGGTAAGTTCAGAACTTCTATAATCCGGTCGGCACCTGACAAAGTTTGTCGTGAGTCCCTCTCAATCGTATGGTCCGTATCCGTCCAGACTGTATCATTGCCAAGACGGAGTCAACTCATATACGAAAAAAATCCGAAACTTTGACTTAGTAGCCGAAGTAGCAAAATAACCTCCTTATCTATCATCTTGCACATGTGTCGTCAGCCCTAAGTTGCTTTGCTTAAAAACCCCTTTCATATGCTATATGGTCTTAACCAACGCGTAAATCGATTGTTGAGTCTCAGATAATCAAATGGTCTAGCGTAGTATAGACCTCTGCTTTGGTATTTCATCCGGTATTGAATCAGAGGAGAATTATGCCGCTACCTCACAGTATTTAGTGGCGACTGCAGATGAATTTCAAGCAGTCGTTTCAACAATCAAACACGGGCTTTCTTGTTCACGTAGTAACTTCATTCGTCGTGTAACAAAACAAATACATAACTAATTAATTTTAGTTAGCTTAATCTGTGAGGAACGTGATGTAATAGATACAGTAGTTCGGTTACTTAAAAATGTGGTCAAAACCAAGTAACACTTAATAAAGAGTGTTCAGTCTGAAATAAGTGAACTCAGTCAGAAGTACCATTGGGAATGGCGCGCCTGCTATATTATTAATCATGATCCTATGTGGAACGAGACTTTCTCTACCATCGGGTTATGTGAAAATACCCGTCTCTATGGTTTCGTATGAGTCATCACTTCTATCTCATTAAATTCTCTATTCCACTATTTGGTCCGGTCCTCAAATAGCTCCCTCTGTCCGGTCCTCAAATAATCTCCCAGGTCCGGTTCTCTGGTCCGATCCTAAATTCCTCTCTCAGGTCCGGTCCTCAAGTCCGGTCCTAAATCTCCGCCTAGGGTACTTTGTTCACAACATGGATATGGTGGTCGACTGTGACTGAGGGCCTGGCGCAGTCACAAACGGGTAAACATTGTGCGAGTGGGTATTGTAGAAATACGGCCTCCGGTCAGTCTAAAATATCAAGATCAAATGAGATAATACATTGGTTTTTATTTGTATTTTAAATAATTTAATACAAGCTCTTTT